GGAGATTTCACCTGTAAAAAGTTATAAGGCCTTTACTATTATGTTATGTGTTGTATGTATTATATTATGTGTGCACGCTTGTGTTTTGTGTTATATGTTTGAATGTACGTATGTCCATATATCATATATGATGAGTGCTCATGAAAAAATGGATCCAAATTTTTTTTCACATGATTTAAATGGTTTAATTTAAATTGGGTAAACAGCTGTTGAGGATTGTTTTAATATATGAACAAAAAAGGAGGTTAACAGATCTGTTTGTTTACTTTCACCTTTCCTTTTCATTATATTTAATAATTCTGTTCAAGATAAGGTACATTGTTAAGAAAATTGTTTTTTTTTAGTGTCTTCTGGAATGTTATATAATTTTTTCTTTAGCCATTATTGCCAGAATTCCTATCTTCATCCCAGTGCTGGTGAAGACAAAGATAAAACCAATCTACAGCTTCTGCAATAGCCATCACTGAACTACTTGCAGAACTTGCCTGGACTATGTATCACTTGTATGCATTGTGAACTCACTTGTATGCATTGTGAACTATGTTGGTGCAGCGACTTGTGGTAGTGTTGGGGTATTTTTGCTAATGGTGTCATCGGTGGTACAATTTTTCCAAAAGGAGCCATCACTGAACTGCTTGCAGAACTTACCTGGACTATGAATCACTTGTATGCATTGTGAACTCACTTGTATGCATTGTGAACTATCTGTTGGTGCAGCAACTTGTGGTAGTCTTGGGGTATTTTTGCTGATGATGTCATCGGTGGTACAATTTTTCTAAAAGGAGCTGTCAATTGGCTTGGTGTATCTTCCTCCCTTCTGCTTGTCATAGTCATTCAGCTAAAATTTGGGGGCCAACAGAGGTGAGGCAAAGAACCTCACCCCCCCCCCCGCTGGTACAAAGACCTATCCACAGGTGTGGCTGTATGCTGGACGGGTAGTCAGTGACGGGTAAGATCCAATTGCAATGGTACCAACCTAAGACAAGAGGCTGACGCCTTGAGGTCAGCTCATCCAATAACAGGTAAGGACCATATGTAGTATTGGACAACCTAAGGCAGGCACATCCCTAAGCCACATGCTTGTTGTTTAAACAGAGAGGGGGAGATGTTGAGAGCCACAGCCGAAGGGGCCCCAGCAAACTTCCAGCTGCCAGTTGATGATTGGCTCACAGCAGCCCCAGCAAACTTCTAGCTGCCAACTGATTGGCTCCTCTGTGGTGATGCTCATTGGGCTGTTTCCCTGCCCTTTCAGACCACGGAGCTGCTCATTGGGGGACTTTTTTGGCTCCGCCCACACGACCCAGCCAATCAGCCTCAAGAGCAGGAGAAGTGGGGGAGGTTGAGAGGCTTGTGGGAAGCCGGTGGTGGCAGTTGGGCTCTGAAGGTTTTTCCTGAGGAGCTGTTTTGTTTGGCATGTGTGGTTCTAAAAATAAAGTTCGTTTCTTTTGACAAATGGCTCCTGAATTGTGCCCAGCCAGACTGCGGCATTTACTGTGCACTAAATATTTCTTTTCTGATGCTACTGTTTTTGTTTTAGCTACCTGCCCCAGGTAGCCCATGTACCAGTCATCACTATACTTCTACTTCTTTTATAAGGCTTAAAAGCTGACTCCTTTACCAGGGAAATATTGACACAAAGAAGAGAGAGGGTTTCACAAACAAATGAGGTAAGACAAGTTTTTCATATACTATACCATAAAACAATTCTCTATGGCCCCATCAGATAAGGAGTATGTTCTCACAAGCCTTCATAATACTGCAGTTAAAAATATTATTTCTTGCAGCAGTTTAGCCTTTCCATGCTGGTGGAATGTGATGTGATTCAATTGTTACTTCATTCAGCCACACTGCAGGGACAGAGTATACATGTCCTAGTGGATTGTACCAGTACCACTAGTTTGTCATGGCAATGTAACAAATGAGGTGAAACAGAAATTTATTTGAGCTAATTCCATAGTCTCCACATCAAGGTGCCTGCTGGAATGATTTCCTTTGAGGTCCACTCTCTGACATGTCTATTGCTATCTTCTGTCTCTAAGTTTGAATGACATTTTTCTGTGCTTCTCTGTGTCCTTATTGTTGCTTTTTATAAGGAGAAAAATTTAATTGGATTAGATTTTACACCAATTAACTAGATTAACATTAATCCTGTCTTTAAAAATTATATATTTAAGTAGATTCACAGTCTGAGGCACTAGGTATTTGGAATCACAATATATGAGACTTGGGGAGGGGACACAATTCAGCTAAGAACATAAACTAGTCTCCTGCTGAAAGCAGACTTCCTGGAAAGGAATACTGAGTGAAGGGATATGCACATGGAACATTTTAATAGCTAAAATCAGATTACAGCACAGAAGAGCTGCTGAAGTTACACTGCCACAAGAAATCTCTGGTTGTAGCTGCTTCTCTGCAGCCAGGCTTCTCTGGGTGTTGGCATTTTAAAAATTATTTTTCTTGATTAATCTCTTTTCCATGTGGCAATTAAGTTCACACTGTTCTATTTTTTTCCAATTTCCCAACTGAAAACTTGAGTTACCTTTCAGTTGATTTATCAATCATTTAGATTTTTTTCTTCCATGAGTCCAACCCATATTTTGGGCCCTGTATTGTGCTCTCTTGCAATTGCCCCAGTGAGGAACCTGGGTTGACAGGTTCCTCTGTTACTAAAGACTTCCCTTAACATGAAAGCAGGATAAACCATAGTCTCTGAACTCAAAGGGACCTCCTAGGACATCCTCACTAGGGTTGCTCTTTAAAATGGAGAAGCAATAATATTTCTCTATTTGAGAGGTGACAAACCAGACAAACCTGCAATATCCCCTATATCAGTAGCAAACCAGACTGAGAAGCTTAGAAAGAATTTCATGCAGTTCTTCTCTGGACAGCTCTCAGTTCTGACACAAGCTACTTGCTGAGAAGCCATTTGATACCTAGAAGCCTGTGTTCTCTCATCTCTGCAATTGGATGTTTTTAGAGGTCTCAGTTGGATAATGGCTTCATGGGGACTCTTGATATAAGTAGGTGCTGTGCTTCCACAGCTGGCAAAACACCTTGAAGTTGTTGTGTAGATACTGCTAAACCATCTCTGACACCATAACAATCATCTTTCAGAAGTTATTCATCATGGGCACTCATGTCCTTCACATGCCCCAATACAATATTTCAAATCTTCCTGGACTGAATACCAGATTCCAATTCTCTGATCTTTCGTGTACTGCCAATAATTATATGTCATCCTTGGCCTCCTTTTGCTCTATGCCATCAACAAAAGAAATGTGCTGCAGGCCTCAATAGCCTTGTCCCTCTTTGCTTTGAAAACATAGAGCTTAGTAGTCCTTTACATCCCTCTAAATCAGCCTATTCTATAATTTATAAACTCTGATTAAACTTACATATATTTGATATCAACCTATGTTTTCATTTGTAAAGGGTGTTGATTAAATTCTAGCTGGTGTTTGCCCTTGAGGTAAACTGAAACATGATTCCATGGAGCCTGGAATGGGAGCCCCAAGATAACAGAGATCTATGAGAATGTTCTGTTTGTGTGGCACTATGTAATATGCAGGACTGCATTTTATATACATATATCACAAAGCCTGCTCTTTTGAATAAATCACTTTCCAAGTCTGATGAGAATAAGGAATGTTGCAAGAGTCTTGTGATCTGGTGGAGGTGTTTCAGTTTCGGAGTCAGACACAGCTCATCCTGATTATTAGCTGTGAGAGTCTGTCCACAGGAGAAAACATATATTACAGCCTGGCCATTGCGTATAAACCCAAATTGCCAAATATGTTTGCATTTGATGTATTTAAACAATAGAGTGAAGACTGCTGAAGATTACAGGCTATGTGTTCCTAACCTCCTGGGATCCCAACTTCCTTTTCTTTTTTTAAAAAAATATTTATTATTTTTAAGGTGTAGATGGACACAACACAATGCCTTTATTTCTATGTGGTGCTGAGGATGGAACTTGGGTCCTGCCCGTGCTAGGCTAGTGCCCTACCGCTAAGCCACAATCCCAGCCTCCATCTTCCTTTTCTTGCTGTCCACTACCTACAATGGGAAAGAACCTGAGACCAGTATGATGTGGGAAAGAGTGATCTACTTTTGGACACTTCCTGGTTGGAGCTTCCTGCTCCCACTCAGGGCATTGTTTCTCCTAATTTTGGGCTTGAGGAGAAATATTAGTAAGAAACTGTATTACTCAGCTCTAGCATATAAAGAGATAGACCATACCCTTAAAGTCCCTGATATTAGGGGACCCATAGCTCTCAAATCTGGAATGTGGTTCCTGTGAACTGAGATATGATGGATCGAGTCAAACTTGAGGATGTAGTTCCAAAAGCACACGTACTTCATTAGTAGTATTCTTAGTCACAGAAAGATAATATTCTGGATATTCTGAATTATGTTATTACTATCAATTTCAACTGTCACTTTTAACATTATTAATGTGAATATTAGAAATATTTAAATTACCCTTGTGCCTTATGTGTTGTTTTCATTGGATATTGTTGTTTTGGGGGTTGCTCCCCAGTTCAAATTTCAATCTGTCTCCTAACAAGAACAGAGGCCAGAAAAGTTAAATGAAATTTTATAGTAATTGTCATTGCATTATTTTCATTCATGAATAATATACAGGCATATATAATCCATAAACTGAAATGACCTTATATGTAAGGTTAGATGCAAATGTTCTGCTGGTTGGTCTAGATCCTACTTTTGGAAGGAAATCTTGCCATAAAATAGCATCAGCCTGAGGCTCTGAGGTGTAATTACCAGACCTCAAAAGAAAAAAAAAAAAAAAGAAAAAAAGAACCTGCCACCAAGAATCTGTCATTCTGGCCTTATGCATGACTGGACTGGGTATTATTTCCTATTACTCAAAAAGAAGGTTACTGGGCTCAGACTCAAGAGCACAGTCTGAAGCCCTGTCCATTCACCAGCACTGAATGAGAACTGTCCAATCCCGTGTGCAGCCAGCGATGAGGGGGCGGGCTTCCGCAATCGGGTCCCCCCCCCACTCCCCGGAGTCCGCCATTTCTGCCATTTGTCTCCAAGTTTCACTCTCAAGCTTCGGAGTCCGGGTTGCTCTGCTGTGCGGGTTCTGAAGATCCTTAGGGAGCAAGCCTGGCTCCTGAGCACCAGGAAATGGTGAGTGTGCAGTGGCACCTGGAGCCTGGGCAGGGAGGCTGGGGAGGGAGGCTTGGAACCCGGGCACCCGCTGGGGCGGCACAGGAGCTCTCAGACGGGCCTCCGGCCGTCTCTGGAGCCTGGGCAGGGAGGCTGGGGAGGGAGGCTTGGAACCCGGGCACCGGCTGGGGCGGGACAGGAGCTCGCAGACGGGACTCCGGCCGTCTCTGGAACCTGCAAGCCTGAGCCCGCCATTGGGGCAGTATGCCCCCAGTCCTACCGGCCATCTAGGTGGAGAGATGACAGTGGCCGAGATCCATGGCCACCTTTCTGATCCTCGCAGGGCATCCTGTCTGGCAGGTGTGCGCCTGCAACCCAGACTCTTGACGAGCGCTGGTGACAGGTGGGACGATCCTCATGACCACATCTCCACCTGTTCTTTTCCTGCAGGAGAGAAGCTGTGTCTATAGGGACCTCACTGTGGTCTATAGGGACCTCAGCTCGTTTTCATTTTTTTTTTTTTTTTTTTTAGTTACTGAAAGTTGAACTGCGGGATATTATACTACTGAGCTATATATATCCCTGGTACTATTTACCTATTTGTTTGTTGAGACCGGTTTAGCTAAGTTGCTGAAATTGGCTTTGTTAGGGTTTGATTTATCTAGACTTTTCTATTGCAATTAAGTATATATTTTTACATACATATGGATTCATATATTGATTTTGCTAAATTGTGATTCCTTGATATTATGGTAATATAGTATAGTTTTATAATATACATGAATATCAGGTAATGATAAGTACTTATTTTACTTTTATAGTTGAAAAGTTTCTTGGCTAAAGTTATATATAACTTTGTGGATGAATTTTAGAACTTCATGCCTTGGTTAGTTATTTCATTAAAAGTAAAGAATGTTGAATTTTTTTTGTTATGGCATTATAGCTATACATAATATTGGGTTCATTTTGACTTAATTATACAAGTATGGAATAGAATTTGCTCCACTTCATTACCCAGTGATTCCCCTTTCCCTCTTCCCTTCCCTCTCTTCCATTTATTTATAGTTTTTAAAATTACTGCTTTATAGATACACATAAAGCTAGAATTTACTGTGATATATTCATATATGTAATAGCAATTTTGGTGGGAATATATTTTGTAGGTTAATTTGGGAAAAATTGTCATCTTTATAATGATGAGTTTTTTCATGTACACATGGATGTGTAATTGAGTCTCTGATGTAGTTGTGATGACTTTTGTTTTCTCATAAGTTATACATATTTTCTTTCTAAACATGTGTACATGTGAAATACACATGCATATATACAACTTAAATATGGTGTTTTACACTATTTTTTAAACTGGATAACTATGACCAAAAATGTGACTGGCCCCTAGTGACCATTTTTCCACAGGTTATTATTTATCTGTTCCAAGATGTGCATTCTCCTGAACCATCCCCCTGGGTTTCAGGTGTTCAGATGAGTGCTGTTGTGTTCTACATATTGTCATGGTCACATAAGCTGTGATCTCAGGAAGTCTATGATGGGGAGTATTGTTACATTCAGTAGCATACAGTTTCCACAAGCAGGTCATACTAACTTAAACTGCTCTTGAGTTTAATGAGTATTCATTTGTTTTACATCTTCATCAATATTTAATTTTGTCTGTGATGGGATTTTATTTTATATTTCTCTAATTTTTAAAGATGCTGAATTTTTTATGATTACTGAATACTTAGGTTATCTCCTGTATGAATTGGCAGTTCAAGGCTCTTCCCTGTATTTCTTTTGTGGTTTCTGGCTTCAAAAATAAGCAAATAAATCCAACAAGGCAGATAGAGTTTGATTTCAAGAAAAAACCAATAATTTTACTTTTAATTATTTAAAAAAAATCACCTTTTTTCTTCCCCTGAGTATATATTGTATGTTTCTTGTCTGCTTTATATTTAGAGGTTATTTCAAATAAAATTCTAGACCTTATCTTTAGAAATTCTATTCTTTTTCTTTTTTTCTTTCTTTTATTTTTATTTTTTTTGTGGTACTGAGGGTTGAACCCAGGGCTTTGTGCATGCAAGGCAAGTACTCGACCAACTGAGCTATACCCAGCCCTTATATTTGGAAATTCTAACAGGAAAAATAAATAAGGAAAATCTCCCTTCCCCTATGGCTGCAGGAAAATGAATATATTTCCTCAAAATTATTTAGTAAGTAAATAAATTATTGAATGACACATTTACTAAAACATCCACTCCTCTTCCTTGAAGGTCTTTTTTTTTTTTTTTCTTCTTGAATGTTTTTGACAGTGAATCATGCATTTTATTATCTGGATTTTGGAATTTACTACAAAATCATATTCGATAAGATTTGGCAAATCCTAGAAATATTCATCCAAACTTTATTGTTTACTGAATGATGTGCTTAGAGATAACTACCAAAGAACATATTTATTTTTTGAAATAGTTACCTCATTTTTCTTTCAATTTGTTATGAGCCTTTTGGATGTATTTCTTTTCTGAGTCAGACTCTGGTCCTGTGGTGTGCTTTTTTGCACCCTGAAAGCTCTAAGCATTTACCCTCATAAGGAATCTGGGTTGATAGTTGTGCTGGTGAAGAGTTCCTTAACCTTAAAGAAGGGAAAACATTTGTGTTGCTCCTGGGATGTCTTTTCTAGGCACTCTCTTCAAAATGGAGAGAAAATATTTCTCCAGACTGACATCCCCTAGATCAGGAGCAAACCAGCCTTTGAGGAGCTTTGAAGGGATTTCACACGGCTCTGTCTCTGGGTAGTTCTCTGTGTGCTACTGAGTTTCCATTTAATGTCCAGAAACCTGTGTTTTCTCATCTTTACAATGGGAATAATTTTAGGGGACACAGATGAATCATGCTCTTCATGGAGGCTGCTAATACATGTGTGTGCTGTGGCCCACGTCTGACAAACCACTGTGCAGATACTAATCGTTTAACCATTATCTGCCACTCACATGAATTTTCTTTCAAAAGGTTATAATAATCTTTTCACTGTAGACACCCATGTCATCCACATCCCCAAATATAAAAGGTTGAATCTTCTTTGTCTGAATTCCAGATTCCAATTCTCTTGTGTTCAAGGTGGCAAAACTTCATTGTGTTTCTCCTTGTCTTTTTACTTTGTGTTCCTGACAAAATATTTCTCTGCTTCATGCCTCTGTTACTGTTCATCTATGTTTAGAAAATGACATGGAAACCTTTATTATTTGCTGGTTGTAGAGGAAGGTTGAGAATACTTCTGGCTGCTGTCTGTCCTTGTTACAAATGGAACCAGGACTCTGCTGGGTCCTGGAAAGGGAGCCCCTTAACCAATCAGGTACATGAAAAGGTCTTGTTGATATGTTATATATAGGTATTACATATGTGCATATTACATATAATATGTACATATTTTATACACACACACACACACACATAGGTGCAGGTAAGTCTATTGAGTGCATTTCTTTTAGGTGAGGAATACAGTTCTTTACCAATATTTCTTCTCAGGTTCAAAAGAGAGATATTGCCCTGTGTGAGAGCAGGGAGTTTACCCAGAAAGTTTCCAGAAGTAGACATTTTCCCACCAAATGCTGGCCGTGGTCCATTCCATTCCATATATCAGACAGCAAGCAATATATATGTATATGTAAATGTAGTGTACAATATATAAGTGTATATATTACATAGTAGTATGTACACACTCATACATAGAAATCCTGCTTTTTTGAACAAATATCACTAACAACTCCTAAATTAATAAGAAAAAAAGAAAAGTTGTATGAGTCCTGTGGTGTAGTGGAGGTATTTGGGTTTCAAATTAGATGCAGTTTGTTTTTGTACTGGGATTGAAACCAGGGGCACTTAACTACCGAGGCACATCCCTAGCACATTTTCATATTTTCTTTAGTTTACAGGGTCTTGCTAAGTTGCTCAGTTTTGAACTTGCAATCCTACCTCAGCCTCCCAAGCTGCTGGGATCACAGGTGTGTGCCACATGCATGGCCACAAAATTCATCTTTTTTCTTAATATTTATTTTTCAGGTGTAGATGGTCACAACACAATGCCTTTATTTTTTTTTTAATGTGGTGCTGAGGATCAAACCCGGGTCCCACCCATGCTAGGAGAGCGCTCTGCCGCTGAGCCACAATCCCAGCCCCGCAACAAAATTCATCTTGATTCCAAGCCCCTTGCTTATTGAGGGGCTTTCATCATAGGAAGAAAAAAATGTAATGGACTGGCCATTGGGTCTAAGGCCAAATTGGAAAATTTTGCAAAATTGCAAAATACTTCATTAGTAATTATGGTCAGATATTGGTAATATTTACATAATGATTATGTTTCATAATGTTATTAAACTCAATTTCTACTGTTTATTGTTTTATGTGAACACTAGAAAATTTTTTAATTACCCTTGCACCACATATTAGTATTGATTATTGTTGCCTTAGGGTGATTCTTCCCAGGGCAGGGAAGTTAATGAAATTTTGCAGGATTTTCACTTTGTTATTTCCACCCATGAATAATACAAGACTTATATAATCCAGAAATTGAAAGGCCTTATATGCAAGGTTAAATACAAATGTCCTCCTGGCTGGGCTAGATCCCACATCTCTAAGGAAACCTTAACTTCAATTAGCTGCAGCCTGAGGATATGGATTTCAATTCCCAGCACCTCAGAAGAAAAAAGCTACAGGCAATGACCTGCCATTGTGACTTCATTTATTTCTGCATTTGATGTCACCTCCTGTCACTCAGAAGACTCACTAGGCTCAGTCTGAGCATGTGAAGAGGTAAGCCCTGTCCACTCAGGACCCCTTAGGTAAGCATTGTCCAATCCAGCACACAGCCAGTAAAGAGGAGCAGGTTCTGACCACCTGGCGTGGCTTTTCTCTCTGGAGCCACCAGTGTTGGTGTCCATCTCTAAGCTTCCTCTTTTATGTCAGGGGACCTGATTTGCTCTGATTTGCAGGTGCTGGAAGATCTATATGGAGAACACTGGGCCCCTCAAAATCTAGCAAATGGAGAATGTGCAGTGGCATCCTGAGGCAGGGGGTGAGGCTGTTTGAAATTGGCTGCCCCAATTATGGTGGGAACTGGCAGTTGTGGCCTGGAATCCTGTGGTAGTCTCTAGTGTCTGCAGGCCTGGGTCTTCCTCTGGGGAAGTTTAGCCCTGAATCCCCACTGGTCAGTCAAATGGGCTTATATCAGCAGTGGACTCTGGAAGTCCTGTCCTATCCCTGCAGATTATCTTCAGCCCCTGCCTGAAGTCCTATCTGAGCACATATGTACCAGCATTCCAGCACCTTCCCGGATGGTGGGGGATTGTGGAGTGGAACGATAATATCATGGTGATACTGGCTTCATAGAATAAATTTGGGAGGGTTTTTATTTTTCTATATCAAGGAATAACTTGAGAAGCATTCTGTTAATTTCTTCTGATTATCTGATGGAATTCAGTATTGAATTCACTTGTCCAGAAGTTTTTGTGTTGGAAGGCTTGGTATTAGTGCTTCAGTTACATTGCTTTTTATTGTTATTTTAGGTTTTCAATATCCACTTTGTTCATTTTGGGTAGGTCATAGGTACCTAGAAATTTAACCATTTCTTTTAGATTTTCCAATTATTAGAATATGAGTTTTCAAAATAATTCCCTGATAATCCTCTAAATTGCATTGGTTTATGTGATAATGTGAGCTCTTTCATCTCTAATTTTATGTTGAGTTTTCTCTTTTCTTTGAGTTGTTTGTCTAAGGGTTTATTCATGTTGTTTATTGTGTCAAAGAATTGACTAGTTTTTTTCATCAATCCTTTATATTCTTTTATTCTTTATTTCATTAATTTCATCTCTGGTTCATATTCTTGTGCTCATTTGGGGAATAATTTGTTGTTGTTGTTATAAGACTGGGAGACTGATATGTAAATTATTTGATTTGAATCTTTCTGGTATTTTATTTAGGAACACAACTGCATTTTCCTTTTAGAACTGCCTTTAGAGTATCCCAGAAATTTTGGTACATTGTATTTCTGTTGGTTGATTCTAAGATTTTTATCTCCTGGTTTTTATGACATACACTCAAAAGTGTGTGATTCAATCTCCATATGATTGTATACTAGCTTAATTTTTCTTGCTGTGGATTTTAGGCTATAATTATCTGATAAGATACAAGGCATTGATTCCACTTTTCTCTATTTGGTAGGACTTTATTTGTGGCCATAAATATGATTTATTTTGGAGAGAGTTCCATGAGCAGGTGAAAATAAGTGTGATCAGCTATTGTTACTCATAAGTGTGATCATCTATTGTTACTCAAAATATCTTATAGATCCTTATTATTTCCATTTTATCTATAGTATGATTGAATGCAAGCCATTTGTTTTCTTTAAAATCAGGATTGATTTTGTAATTGAACAGTAGATATGGTCGTGTTAAATCAGTTTCATATGATTGTAGGGAAGGCAAATGGATACAGAAGCGAAGTGCAGAGGCAAGTGCAGAGGCAAAAGCAAAAACTGCTCACCTTAGATGCCAGCTTTATTTATATCAATAGATGACTTTAGGTCATTGGCTTCATTAGTACACATTGTTCATAGTCAGGTTACAGACTTAGCAACATTATGCAGCTCATCTCTCAGTTACATAATAAGTTGCAATGTGCAATGTTAGGAGCTTTGTGTAGCTCTCAAGAGAATCCATTGTAAAAAGTTACTGTTATGTTGGCAGCTTTAGGCTCAGTGAAACATTGTGGTGTCCAACAAGAGAGATCCTTTATTTCTAGGAAGTGCTTGAGATCAAAGTCAAGGCTGATAGACTAGCACAGAGCCTCCTCATAAAGGACATTACCATAGCAGCTAGGCATTGCACATGTATTAGTTATCTGACTAGTTCCAGGGAGTAACTGCAGAGCATTCTAAGGGTTGGAAACAGGGTGCCAGTTATCCCCCAGGAGTTTGCTCACCAGAGGAATGCTTCCCTGTATATTTCCACAGTCAGAATCCCTACAGATATCATAGTGAACTTGGAATAAAACTGTGGAAAACCTGTGGGAGTTGGATTTTGAAATAGTGATGTTGGTAATAAAATGATCAGGTAGCTATCTAAATTGGATTTTTGTCATGAGCATATGTCTACAGTATTCATAAGGACAATCTAAAAATAACATGTTAGATATCTTCTTTATGTTCTACTTATTAGTCAGGTTTCATTTTTCTATTATTTATTGCCAATATGGCTCATTTCTCATGCAGGTGACTGTCCCTTTTGTACAGTTGCTTCTGTATTAGTACAGGAATATCAGATGTAGGTTTTGTTTGTTTTTCCCAGCACAGTCTTGTGTCTAGGTGTGGTAGATACAAAAGTAGGGCTTATGTACTAGTGTAGATTGGAGCCATTGCAAGACTGAGGAGACTATAAAGTCCAGAGTACTGAATACATGGTGAAATTGATGACACTGATCATCAGGGAAACAAGGTTTGATTTTGAGTTAGATACACAGGCAATTATAAAAGACATATGTGTAAAATAGTACAAGATTGTGGTTGACCACATGGAATTCTTAGCATGTGTATTGAAGATAATAATAACAAGAATAATAATGATGATGATGATTATAATAATAGGATATTACTTAAGATATGAGAAAAAATCATTTTAATAATAATAATGGTATAAAACAATAAAACAATAAATATAAGAAAGAGTGAGATTAGATTATTTAACAGAAAGAAATAATCAAGATTAGAAATATACATTTGTGCTGGAGATGGGACTCCATGGTAGAGAAGTTGCCTTGCTTGTGCAAGAACCCAGGTTTAATTCTTACCACTACAAAAAAATTTTTTTAAAGGAATTTTTTTCTTAGAGCATTATAGTTATACATATTAATTGTGTTTATTTTGACAAAATCATACAAGGTTCAATTTGATTTGCTCTCTTTCAATCCTCATTACCTTCTTTTATCTCTATCCTCCCTCCCAATATTCTCCCATCATCATGCCCACCCACAAGAATAGGATCCTAATTAGAATACAATATATCCCATGCTTGCATAATTTCATCACAATGGATTCTACTGTCGTGTAGAACTAAGAAGAACCAATAAAATTAAATAAAACATGAAATTGTTTGAAGAGTGAGATAATTTTATGCTGTTAGAAACATCACATATTATATACATGTATCCCAAAATTTTTATTGCATAAATATGTACAATTTTTATTTTACTATTAAAAATAAGTTTAAATTTAAAAAACAAAAATATTCAAACAAGATTGTTGTTTCTATTTGTTATTTTAATAATATACATAAATACCATAAAATATTTGAATTCAAATTCAATATTTACTAAAGTAAATATTTCCTTTAGTTTTCTACCTTATTGCATTTCAAAAGTTTGTCTTATACCACTGGTATTGGAATCACTAGAGAGGTTGCTACATATTCAGAAAACTCAGTTCCATCCCAGAACTATTGAATCATATTCGGCATTTTAGTAAATCTCTGATTCATGGTTATGCAATTAAAATTGAGAATTCCCCTTCTTAATCATCATAACTTTCTCATCTGAGAGATATATACAACTTAGATTATGATATAAAATAACAAATGTATATTCTTGTGTTGATGCCTGAATTTTTATATTTTATTTCATAAAAGTGGAACATATACACTCTTTTTGGACTTATGTCACTTTTTCTTCAGAGGTAGATAATGGTATCACTGTGTTTAAAAGTATCTTTATAAATTTAATTAAAGTCATCACTTACATGAGAGTCTTTTTACAAACTCTCATCTCAACTTTAATTAGATCACAAACTCTGTGGATTATCATTTGGTCAATGTGCTATTTATTTACCTATTCTTGTTTCAGGAACTGTTGACATTCAGGGATGTGGCCATTGATTTCACTGAAGAGGAGTGGGAATGCCTGCAGCCTGCTCAGCAAAAATTATATAGAGATGTAATGTTAGAGAACTACAGAAACATGGTCTTCCTGGGTATGTATAACTTCCATTCAGAATTCTTAATTATTGTTATTTAATTTTCTTCCCTTGCAGAATATCTTCTGGGAACGTCTCTGCAAGAATGAGTTTTAGATTTGTGCTTTCAAGAAAAAGGCATTGTTTGGTACAGATAAGTGTTAATGATATTCCTTTGAGTCTTTAATCTCTTCTTTTCTTGGTTAGTTATATATTCTTCACTTTACACAACGGTACTTAGACAAATTCAGTGATGTAAAATATTGTGGCCTACACATAGCATTGGACACATTGAGAGGCCCAAATGTCAAGGAGGACGTCAAACTTCAAATGTTCATGGAAAAGTTATCCACCAGAAAATATTTTTTTAGAAGCTTAGGTTTATTTCTCTTGAACACAAATGCTCTATGTTTATCATGCTTTCAAATTCTTTAAAGTCTCCTTTTTTCTCCAGTGATGTACCAAGTACATTCAAATTAACCACCAAACTCCCCTTAGCTTATGAGGATCAGCATGGTCTAAAAGATATACCATTATTTGTGGGTCTCTAGGAAATTGATGCACATTTTTGGAGAACTTTAGGTCAAACCATTGTAATAAACTAATATTATAAAGCAGTCTCTCTAATAATATTCATATATGTATTTATTAAAATTTTATTATTAGAGCTCTAAAATACTTTAATGGATTTTCTGTGAAGTGAATCAAGGTTTTCAATGAATGCTCTTTTGGGGTCTGTAGTCACAGTTGCAAAATGTAGTTATATAAAAGGGCTTGTAAAATAGTATATCTGTGGTTATATACAATTTTGTTGGTTAAATTTTCTTTTTCTTCCATTTTATTGAATAGGTTTTATGTTGTGGAGTAGATTTTCTCACATAATTTGGTTCTGCTTTATTTTATCCATTTTTTATGATTAGATGGCAATTTCCATTATTTCACAAATTAGGACAATGTAAGTTGAAATTAAGATATTCATGATCCTTGTTTCTATTGCCAATAAAATTACATGTGCTTTTACTTGCTTGCATAAATATTATTCCCTTTTAATGACATTTATATTTTATCTGAATTAGTTTTTCATCCTCCCTATGTACAGAGTAATGTAAATTTTGTATATGTTAATGTAATGGGGATAAAACCAGGCATGAACTAGTAATGAGCTGTGCCCCAGTCCCTTTCTATTTATGTTTGGAGGAAGGTTCTCACTAAATTACTGATGATGGTTTTGAAATTGCAATCTTCCTGCCTCAGAATTCCTAGTACCTGGATTACATGCATGTGTGTGTATGTGTGTGTTTGTGTGTATAATGACATTTTTAAGGTAGCTTTAAAATATTTTGCAATTATTTTTATATTTTATGTGTTGTTTGAAATTTTAATCAAAACCACAAAACAAAACTTGCTGTCCACCATATCAAGTATATTGTTCAGTAATGTTAATTCAAATTTTTATGTAATATATCTGTAGAAAGTTTACATCTCAAAAATCAATACATAAATTCTAATGTAAACAAAGGCTCATTTCTATCTTCTCCCCTCAGTAATGCCATTCTCATTTCAGTTCAGAAAGTTTTTGTTTGTATGTTTGTTTTTGTTTTGTTTTAGGCATCTTATATAAGTAGAATTCTGCCATATTTTTCTTTTTGGTAGGGACTTATTTCAGTTAACCTAATATACTGAAGATTTATCCTGATGATAGATTTCGCAAAAATTTATGGATTTTTTAACATGAAAAATATTCTCTAGTTTCTATATTACAAATTGCCTCATCCACTTATTTCAAGGAATATTTGGTGTGCTTTCTCATGGTAGCTCTTTTAGGTAATACTGTAACAAACAATGGCATGCAAATGTTTTAATTTGCTACATATGCAAGAGATTATTACACTCCCAATTTAATGTGCCTATCTGTTTAACTTGATGTCAGTACTACCCATTGAATATTGTAACTTATAATGTTTTTAAGTCATGACACAACATTCTCCCAATTTTGTTTATATTTTGAAATTTTGGGGGCTTTTCATACAACTTGAGATTCCATAAAATTTCTGGAATATGTTTTTCTGTTTGCAAAAGGAAATGGGAGTTTGATAGATATTTACATGAAGTCTCCAGCTAACTGAGGTGTACAAAGGTCTTTTTTTATCTTTCATTTCTGGAACAAGACCATGTTCAAGATTCTTCAAGCAATTGCCACATATTTCTAGATTTTTGAGCATCCCTTCCACTTTTGATTTCTAACTTTATGCTATGATATTTACAAAATAATTTTACTATTTTCATACCTATTAACCTTTGTTTTATTCCTTACCAGTTGGTCAATCCAGTTTAATATTCTATTTGCTATTGAGAACATTTAGTATATGTTTAAAGTATTTTTCAAAGGTTTTGTTTTGTGATTACCATTTTGTTTGACTTTTTCTTACAGTAAATGGGGATTAGTGTCTCCTAGTATTATAGTGTTGCTTTCTATTTCTGTATTTACTTTTTTTAATTTTACCTTTTTAATGTCTGAGAAGACTTGAAAATATATCTATTCTCATGGCAGTATTCTAGGGAAAAGTTATTTTTATCTTTGTATAATCTACTTTGCCTCTTTTTAATTTTTTTAATTTAGAATATATTTTATGCCATATAACTTCTTGTTTTAAATGGTTTCTGTATTATAATTTGGCAATCCCAGCTTTTTTTTTTTTTTTGGTCACTTTTGTATGTAACACTCATATTTTTTTGCTTTCATCGACTTCTTTCCTTAGATTTAGGGTTCCCTGTAGATTATATACAATTAAATTTCTTTCAGATTTATTATTTTTTATTTTTTGAAATTTTTATTTGTTCTTTTTAACTATACCATAGTAGATAAATGTATTTTGACATATTTTACATACATGGAATATAACTTTTCATTCTTGTGGTTGTACAAAATGTGGAGTTACACTGGTTGTGTATTAATATATGAATATAGAAAAATTCTGATTCATTATTCTTTCTTATTCCCATCCCACTCCCTTCCCTTCATTCCCCTTTTCTTATCCAAAATGAACTTCTATTTTTGCCCACCTTCTTGTGTATAAGCATCTGCATATCAGAGATAACATTCAGTCTTATGAAGTAATATTTTACTTCCTCTATATTTAACACACAACAGTCACTTCTAAACATCTATACAGACTAGATTTTTCAATTAAGGACTCAATTTGTCTCCTACATACATGACAGTCTTGAATAAATTGCACATATGTAACAATAGTCCTAATTTGAAAATGTCTTCAAAATATGATCATTCTGGCCCTTCCCCAACCCTGTGAACTCTAATGATCACATTTTTAGAAGACAATTCTTCCCAAGAATTTTAACACAAAACATACAAAATTTGTTTACTAATTATACTTTTGTCATACACTGGCAACCTCTTTAACAGCTAGAAAAGCTAGATGTAGATTAGGACTTGTTGGTCCTTTATATACACTAAGTACACAGCACAGTAAAACAAAACCCACAGACATAGGAACAGTGGTTACTCTTGTCTCACTGTAAGCACACTGGCATGGTACTCCAGAGAATCAGCACACAATATGTATTACTCAACAGGGGTTTTGGCTATTTCCCCACCCGCAAAAAAACATTTCATATGAATTTTAAAAAAAATTTATACAATGTGTTATATTTTACCACTTCTACTTTTGACATATATTAAGTACTTTAGAACATCTAGAAAGTCTAGATATTTCTTTTAAAAAGTACTTAGCATTAGTAATTAGTACTTAGTAATGAGGAGTAAAATACACATACAAAATAATGGTTATAATAAATGAAAAATTTCTTTTACATATAACCAGTCTGGCACAGGACAATTTCTTCTTGTGGTCCAAGTCTTCGTAATGTCTTCTAACCCACTGAAAAAAATGTGGATAACTGCCACTGCTAGATGTGGTCTAAAAACTCCATTTCAGGGCTGGGAATGTGGCTCAGGCGGTAGCGTGCTCGTCTGGCATGCGTGCGGCCCGGGTTCGATCCCCAGCACCACATACCAACAATGATGTTGTGCCGCCGAGAACTAAGAAATAAATATTAAA